TAATATCTAATAAAATTATGGATGAATTTACTGTAAAGATATCACTCTAGGGGCGCCTGGGTGGCTTAGTTGGTTAAGCGTCTGACTTTCACTTAGGTCATGATCTCGCGGTTCGTGGGTTCGAGCCCCGCGTCGGGCTCTGTGCTGACTGCCAGCTCAGAGCCTGGAGCCTATTTCAGAGTCTGTGTCTCCCTCTCTCTCTGACCCTCCCCTGCTCACGCTGTCGCTCTCTCTCTCTCTCCTAGAAATAAATAAAAATATTTAAAAAAAAAAAAAAGATATCACTCTAACAATGTAAAAATACGTATGCACAACATTACTCATTACAGCATTCTTACCCTAAGAAATACTAGAATCTGCATCCAAGATAGGTGATTGAAAAAACAATGACACATCCATACAATGTAGTATTGTGCAAACTTAAAAAACATTATCATGGGGCACCTGGGTGGCTCAGTCAGTTAAGCATCTGACTCTTGGTGTCTGCTCAGGTCATTCACGATCTCACAGTTTGTGAGTTCAAGCCCTGCATTGGCAGTGCGGAGCCTGCTTGGGTTTCTCTCTTTCCCTCTCTCTCTCTGCCCCTCCCCCACTCCCACTGTCTCTGTCTCTCTCAAAATAAATACATACACTTTAAAAAATAATAAAAATTGTTGAGTCATTTTTCACCATTGGAATATGGGTCTGGACTAGGTAAAATTATTCTATCAATGTTAAATGTACAACCGTTGATAATTGTGGTTATGTAAAAGAATACCCCTGTTCTTAGGAAACACATACTGAAATATTTTAGGATAAAGGACTGTTGTGTGTATGTGAGGGGTGGGGAGAAGGAAGAGAGTAGGAGGAAGGAAGAAAAGAAACAAGGTAAAAATGTTAATGATAAATTAATCCAGGTAAAGGATATATGGATATTTTGTATTATTGTCATTGCAACTTTTCTGTAAGCTTGAAATTATTATTTAAAAAAATTTTTTTTAATGTTTTATTTATTTCTGAGAGAGAGAGAGAGAGAGAGAGAGAGTATGAGCAGGGGAGGGTCAGAGAGAGAGGGAGACACAGAATCCAAAACAGGCTCCAGGCTCTGAACTAGCTGTCAGCACAAAGCCCCACATGGGGCTTGAACCCACTAACTGTGAGATCATGACCTGAGCTGTAGTTGGACACTGAATTGACTGAGCCACCCAGGCGCCCCAAAATTATCTTATTATAAAAATTTTAAATGTTAAAATAAAGCACTAACATCAGTTACTACTTCTGAACGTAGGAGGAAAAGGATCTCAAGTACTAGCCTGATGATAATGGCCCTGAAGTGAGAGCAGGAGAGTGGCACACCATATAGCTCACAAGCTGCACCAATTTAATCATACCTCATCTTGCTCAAGAGCTGCAGATTAATTCCCACACTTCTTTCACTGTGCATGGTTGGCCAAGCCTCCTTTATTCAATGTATGAAGGAAGACCTCTGGTGTGGCAGATTTCTTTCTTTATGGCAGGTCCTATTTTCAATGTCTTCATCCATACTCTTGGTTTTGTGTAGGTGTACTCAGAATATTTTCCACTTAGCCTTTAGACTGGTCACTTGTTTCAGGCCTTGTGGCCTCTACAGGTACTTTCAGCCACATTATATCTCCTGCTGCAAATTAAGGATCATCTTCCCCAAACCTGCTGGTTTTAGCTCATTGCTTCAGGGAGCATCTTTGGTCATTAATGCATGTCCTGGTTGATACAAATGTATAGGTATCGCTGTGGGCATTCAATCTCACAGTGTTTTGGAATTATTTCACAATTTGTAATTTACTTGGTACTTATGACAGACTACTAAAACAGTACAAAACTGATGGTCACATAAATGAAATCTGGAGGGTTAACTGGTTTGAGCAGCAATGAGTTAGAAGAAGAAGCTTCATTGTAGAATTGTTGAATATGAAATAACAGAAGGGTTGTTAGATGTTGGGGACTGGTCTTTAGGTCAGCATTGAAACTCTAGTTTTTTAGTGTGTTTTGTTTTTTAGATTCAGCTGGTGTATTGGGAATTAGGCTTTCTGGGTGCCTCTCACACACCCCTAGTATGTGATAGAGTTTACGTACTATCCAGTGACCCTGAGTATACATCTGGAAGCTCCCCCAACACCAAGCCCTAGCAAACCTTGCAGGAGGACCTCAGCTCCAGCCCACATCCAGTATCTTTACCCACTGTTAGATCACCAAGAGCTGTTATGCCTTGAGACCCACTACATTCCAGTGTCCTCACTGTTCCCTGACTACTCTGTCATCCCCTACTCCAAATGTGACCCAAATATCCTTCTGGTAAATCCCACCTCGCTCTGATCATACCTCTGCATTGAAGTACTTTATACTTCAGGAAATTCAGGGAGCAGTGGGATAAGTAACTGGATTGTATGGGGTTGGACTTTAGAAGATCATTTTCTTATAGAATAATGGCATCTGACTCAAAAGATTCAGTGTAGCAGACCTAGAAATGATCCAGTTCCACTGTCGAAGACCTTTCCTTTGCTTTCCATGATACTGCAGAGGATACTGCTGCCTCTGGGTGGTAGTCAACACTCAGTAAATCCAGCTATGTCAGCTTGGCTCAGGTGTATTCACACCTTTGCTAGTAGTGGAATTAGCAAATCCTTGTCATACTTAATGCTCAAGGTGAAAACTGTCCTCAGGATATTCCAGATTGAGGTTTTGTCCTTCATGCTGTTAGTTTAATTAAACAAGGAAGCCATTTATTTGACTGAGGTAGTTCTAATGTCTTGGCAGCCTACATAAGCAACCCAAAACCTAAGTCTGTAAATGCCTCAAGGTTAAGAATTCAAAACATAAGGACAAACAATCACAAACAGCAAACTTGGCTTTCCCATACAAGGCAAATGTAAGCTCTAGCCAATCAAATAGTTTCCTTGCTTTGCTTCCTATCTTTATAAAGGCCTTGCCACTACTTGCAGTGGACATAGTGCTGCTAACCACTTCTGGTTTGGTTATTGCCTGATGGGAATCAATTTTTGCTCAAACTCCACGTTTTAAAAATGCTTCAGTTTATCTTTTAACATTGCTTTTTTTTTCTTTTCTTTTTTTTTTTTTTTTGTTTATTTTAGAGAGCAAGAGAGAGCATGAACAGGGGAGGGGCAGAGAAAAAGGGAGACACAGAACCTGAAGCAGGGTCCAGGCTCTGAGCTGTCAGAACAAAGCCTAATGTGGGGCTCAAACCCACGAGCAGTGAGATCATGACATGAGCTGAAGTCAGACTCTTAACCTACTGAGCTATCCAGGTGCCCCTAACATTGCTTTCAACAGAGATTCTCAAATTATCTGAAGACCACTTGACATCAAAATCACCTGGGGAAATTTTAAAAAATGTATCTATAGATGGAGCCATGGTCCAAAGGGACCTAGGAATCTTTAGTTTACTCAATTCCTCAGGTGATGATAATGCACATAAATTTCAAGAATGGCCGCTCCATTATGTGAACACTGTGGCTTCACCAGAGTACTCATTCAAACAACGGAACAGATCCTGAAGTTTACTCCCACCAGCCTAGAGCAGGCATGAGGTGGTTCTAAGAAGGAATGGCAAAGCATGACCTTCCACAGCAAAATGTTACTGTACTCCTCTCAGGTTGTAGCCATAACACGTGAAACTCTTCAACAATACAGGATAGTTACTCCCAATCTCTCCCAATAGAAAAATATCTTGATTTTGATTATTTTTTAAATTAGGAATTCATTCACTACTCTGTCTCAGTGCTCACCATAATGCCTAGCTTAATAAATGTACTTAATAAATATTTCTTGGGGCTCCTGGGTGGCTCAGTCAGTTGAGCGTCCGACTTCGGCTCAGGTCATGATCTCACGGGTTCAAGCCCCGCGTTGGGCTCTGTGCTGACAGCCAGCTCGGAGCCTGGAGCCTATTTCGATTCTCTGTCTCCCTCTCTCCTGCCCCTCCCCTGCTCATGCTGTCTCTCTCTCTCTCTCTCTCTCTCTCTCTGTCTCTGACTCTGTCTCTCTCAGAAATAAATAAAACATTAAAAATTTTTTAAATAAACAAAATAAATATTTCTTCAATGAATCTCTGCCCTCCTGCCCATCCCCACCCCATTTTCTTGGCTGCGATCGCTGTCCTCCACTTTCATGTCCCCAAAAGGAGGCGGATGAAGCACTTTACTTAGGGCATCCCAAGGGTGCGGCTCAATGAAAACATGCTTGAATTGTGATGTAGATGAAGTTGTTCTTATCCCTGACTAGGTGCTGAGCTGGGCTTGGAAAGCATGGCAAAGCAGGTGTAACACACCTGGGAGAGTCTCAGTGTCACAGAGGATTCATTAGAAACTCTGACAGAGCCGAATCTGTAAGTTGTTCTGAGATCTGTGTTGGTAAAAATCTTTAACAGTATTCTTTTAAGTAAACTCTTTGTTCTGTATAACTATAGAGGAGGATTCACAGGGCATTGAGGGCAAGACCACTGAAATGATACAGGAGAGTTTGAGAAAAAGCACAGCTTCTGTGACTGAGATTCAGTCCCAATCCAGAAGTCGAGTTCAATAGTAGACTGGATTCTAGACAGTTCAGATTTCTATTCAAGAGAAAAGCCTTCCCTTTTGCTTTCTTTTGAATGACATGTGGTTGCTTCTTATTTTACCTTGCCTTCTTTGTAAAATATCTTAAGATGTAATTATTTTGTGCCTGACTAAAGTTAAGGAATGTCTTGATTTATTGAAGGAAAAAGAAGATAAGGGGGAGGAAAATGAAGGGGGGAAGAGTGAGTGCAAGGTCCTTTGTACATTTGACGGTCATTTTGTTAGAAGAAGCCATCACAAAGGGCATATATCCTTTATTATGTAGAGACAGCAAAAATAATTCTCCTTATCTTTCTCATTCTACTAAATCTTTCCTCAGTATTTTATTTTATTTTATTTTACTTTCCAGTGTATTCAACATACAATGTTATATTAGTTTCAGGTGTATATTTTAATAACTCAATTATTCCACACAAAAATATAAAATGCTTCATGAATTTGCATGTTATCCTTGTGCAGGGGTCATGCTAATCTTCTCTGTGATTCCAATTTTAGTATAAAGGCTGTCAAAGTGAACACTCATTCTCAGTTTTAATATCTACTTCCTTACCAGCCTTCCATCCAAACTATTCCAAACCTACTTTGTTTACGTGGAACTGACTCTAGGTGTCATATAAGGGGAGTTCCATTCCTATACTACAACTTCTATAGACCATTTCATGGTCAGAATAACTCCATTTGTACAGAACACACTGACATCTTAGTATTGGATCTTTACTCAGTATGTATTATATTCCTGCATTTCATTTTCCTTTCCTAATTTGGTAGGTGTAGTAGCAAAAAAGAAAAAAGTATTAGACTTATCTCAAGCTATGGGCACCTGGGTGGTTCAGTTGGTTAAGTGTCCGACTTTGGCTCAGGTCATGATCTCACCATTTGTGGGTTTGAGCCCTGCGTCAGGCTCTGTGCTGACAACTTGGAGCCTGGAACCTGCTTTGGATTCTGTGTCTCCCTTTCCCTCTGCACCTCCCCAGCTCAGCTCCTGCTCTGTCTCTCTCTGTCTCTAGAACATAAGTAAACATTAAAAATATTTTTAGAATAACCTCAAGTTAGAGACAGATAGCAAAGACATGCAACTTTTCACTGAAGATGTTTAATAGACATTTCAAGTTTTATTTTCTTTAATCTCTTAGTTTGGATGTGGAGAGAATAGAACACTTGTACATTGTTGGTGGGAATGTAAGACGCAAAAGTGCTTTGTAAGACAGTATGGCATTTCCTAAAAAAATGAAAAGTTACCATATGACATAGTAATTCCACTTCTGGCTATAGACTCCAAAGAATTAAACAAGGATTGCCATGTTCATAGCAGTGTTATTCACTATAGTCCAAAGGTGAAGGCAACCATCAATGGATGAATGGAAAACCAAAATGTGGTCTTTCCATACAATGGATTATTAGCCTTAAAAAGGGAGGACATTCTGACATGCTACACCATAGATGAACCTTGAAGACATTGTGCTAAATGAAATACAGGGATGCCGGAGTCCTGCTCAGGCCAGGTCCAGGGGTCCCTTAAGGATGGACAGTGTTGGTGAGGGATGTATGAGAGAGGTGCAAGATTCTTTCTGGTCACCATCCAGGCCTCTCTGCACTGTCTGAGACTCAACTTTATTTTATGATTTAGTGTTTGGGGAACAGCACAGAAGTGGCATTCTGATGATAAATTCTTTTATTAGTAAAAACTTTCCAGAACATTGATATGCAAAAGGTATGGGGAACACCCCAGAGGTGGCATTAGCAAGGAAAGGCACAGGTTAGTTCTTTGTGAGTAGGAGTCAATAGCCTGTTTATCGCTTAATGGGAGGTATTAAGAAAAACAAGTCTTTCTTTCTTTTTTTTATTTTTTTATTATTTTTTTAATGTTTTATTTATTTCTAGGAGAGAGAGAGAGAGAGAGAGACAGCGTGAGCAGGGGAGGGTCAGAGAGAGAGGGAGTCACAGACTGAAACAGGCTCCAGGCTCTTGAGCTGGCAGTCAGCACAGAGCCCGACGCGGGGCCCGAACCCACGAACCGCGAGATCATGACCTAAGCGAAAGTCAGACACTCAACCGACTAAGCCACCCAGGCGCCCCAAGAAAAACAAGTCTTTCAAGAACGCAATGTTGCTCCCATAACCACAAAAGAAGAAATTCCTACAGTAAGTTCCTTCACAAAGTGCAGTCAGCATATCAAGGCCAGAATGAGTCACTCCAAATACCAATCAACAAGGTGTCTTGGGGGTTGATGCTCAAGCAGAAACAGCTGGGTAGGGGTGGATATCGGTTGCCATCTGATGGTAAGAGTCCGTGCAACTTACCTCCTTAACCTCACAAGGAGTTTTTTTTCTCAACTTATGAGTTCAGAAACAGCTCCCAACACAAGGACAAGTGCTGTATGATTCCATTTATTTGAGGTACCTAGAGTAGTCAAATTTATTTTTTTTCTTAAGTAGTTTATTGTCAAGTTTCTTTTTTTTTTTTAATAGTTTATTGTCAAGTTGGTTTCCATATAACACCCAGTGCTCATCCCCACAAGTGCCCTCCTCCATGCCCATCACCCCCTTCCCCTTCTCCCCACCCCCATCAGCCCTCGGTTTGTTCTCAGCATTCAAGAGCCTCTCATGGTTTGCCTCCTTCCCACTCCCCTACTATTTTTCCCCTTCTCTTCCACCATGGTCCCCCATTAAGTTCCTCCTAATCCACCTATATGTGCAAACATATGATATCTGTCCTTCTCTGCCATAGAGTAGTCAAATTTATAAAGACAGAAAGTAGAGGAGTGGTTGCCAGGGGCTGGGAGCAGAAGGAATGGGGAGTTGGTGTTTAATGGGTGGAGAGTTTCAGTTTTGCAAAGTGAGTTCTGTGGATGAATGGTGGCATGCTGGCGCAACAATGTGAATGTACTACACGCCACTGAACTGACTGTTTTCAATGGTTAAGATGGTAAATTTATGTTATATATATTTTACCAGTAAAAAAAAGAAAGACTGAGAAATGTGCACTGGCTTTATCAACTGAGGAAATCATTGTGATATTGGTGACATAGTGGGGCAGTGGGGGGGTGGGAAGCAAGATTCCAGGGGGTTTTGAATTCTCCCTTTAGTTCTAACTCACAGATACTGCTACCCACTTTGAATATCAAATAGACATCTCAAACTTATCACAAAACAACCAAATGCTTGGTTTTCTCTCTACCATCCAAACTTCTTTTTTTTCCCCCTCATCTTAGTGGCTAGACCTTGCATTCCTTTAGTTGCTCAGGCCAAAAAGCCTAGAACCCTCTCTCATACCCGGAATCCAAACCATCAGCAAATTCTGCTGGTTCTCCTTTCAACCCACACACTGAGTCTGGCAGCACTTTCACGTCTGAGTCACCATCTTCTCTCTTGGACTACTTTAGCAGCCTTCTGATTAATTTCCCTGCTTCTATTCTTTCCTCTTGATAGTCTCTTCAGCATATAAGAACCAGACTATCTTTATAAAATATAAATAAGATTATCTCAATTCTCTGTTCAGAACTTTCCAAAGGCTTCCCTTCTCAGATATAAGCCAAAGACCTTACTTAGCTAACTTCTTCCTGGAGCATATTGGCCAACATGCCAAGAATGCTCCCTCTTAGGGGCTATGTTTTTGTTCTCTTTGCCTATAAACCATTTTCTCAAGAACGTTCACAACTTTATCTCTCTTCTTCATGTGAATTTCTGTTCTGAGAGACCTTTCCTAACTGTGATGTTTTAAAAACATGTCTGCAAATTCTTTTCCATTCTTCCCATTAAGAGATAGAGTCTAATTCTTTCCTCTTAAATACTATCCGAACTTAATGACTCAACAAAATATGGAGGCAGTGAGGCTATTTTACTCCTAAGTCTAGGTCATGAAAAGCAGTAGTTGGGATGCTTGCCCTTGGAACAGAGCCATCATGCTGTGAAGAAGCCCACAGACAGGCTACACTCCTGCAACAACAGCCCTAACTAGTGGTCCTCGCTGACAGCCAGCATCAACTGTTAGATACATGAGTGGAGAATCCTTCAGGATAACTCCAGCCCAAGCCTGTTTAACTACAAACACATGACAGATCCCGAGGGAGCACTGCTGAGCTCAACTCAGTCACCCCCAGAAATAGGAGAGATAAAATAAATGATTGCTGTTATTTTTTAAAGATTGATTTAACTAACATTTATTGACTATTAGCTATCACAGGGATTTTATATACAAGAACTTGTCTAACCTATGTAATAGTCCTGGTTAGGTAGGCATTATTTATTTATTTGTTGTTTTATTATTTCTTTTATTTTAAGTAGGATCCAGTGCCCAATGTGGGGCTTGAACTCACAGCCCTGAGATTAAGGGTCATATGCTCCACCAACTGAGACAGCCAGGCTCCCCAGTGATTGCTGTTATTTTAAGCCACTAAGTTTGGGTGGTTTGTTTCTCAACAACAGACACTTGAAGCACAGATCCTACCACAATTATACTCCTTATCATTTGCTAGTCCCTGGCCTGGATATGTTTTTCTTTATGGCACTTACGGCTTTCTGACATATGTACATTTGTTCTTTTTTTCCCTCCTGTTCTCCTCTCTGTGCCCTGGAACATTAGCTGCATGAAAGTAGAAACTTGGTTTTGTTTGCTGATATATCCCCAGTATCTATAATACTGCCTGGTACAGAATTGTCATTGGAGCTTAAATTATATTTGTTAATTGGATGTAACTGTGGCCCTCTGTTGTGGAAAAGGCATCCAATGTGAATGGGAAGGTATTGGGGTGAAAAGGACTTAGAAAATGCCATATAGGAAATAATTTTTATTTTCATTATTCTTTTTTTTTTTTTTATTTTTAGAAATAGTTTATTGTCAAGTTAGTTTCCACATAACACCCAGTGCTCATCCCCACAAGTGTCCTCCTCCATGCCCATCACCCCTCCCCCCCACATCCATCAGTCCTCAGTTTTTGTCAGCATTCAAGAGTCTCTCATGGTTTGCCTCTCTCCCTTTCCCCCACCATTTCCCCCCTTCTTCTCCCCCTTGTTCCTCAGTTAAGTTCCTCCTAATCCTCCTATACGTGCAAACATATGATATTTGTCCTTTTCTGCCTGACTTATTTCGCTCAGCATAACACCCTCAAGGTCCATCCATGTTGCTACACATGGCCAGATTTCATTGTTTCTCATTGCCATATAGTATTCCATGGTATAGATAAACCACATCTTCTTGATCCATTCGTCCGTTGATGGACACTTAGGCTCTTTCCATGTTTTAGCTATTGTGGAGAGTGCTGCTATGAACATTGGGGTACATGTGCTCCTATGCCTCAGCATTTCTGTATCCCTTGGGTAAATTCCTAGCAGTGCTATTGCTGGGTCATAAGGGAGTTCTATTGTTAGTTTCCTGAGGAACCTCCACACTGTTTTCCAGAGGGGCTGTACCAGTTTACATTCCCACCAACAGTGTAGGAGGGTGCCCGTTTCTCCACATCCTCGCCAGCATCTAGAGTTCTCTGATTTGCTCATTTTAGCCACTCTGACTGGCGTGAGGTG